CGTCCGCTGCAGCCCTCCAGGCTCCCACGTCGTCCGCTGCAGCCCTCCAGGCTCCCACGTCGTCCGCTGCAGCCCTCCAGGCTTCCACGTCGTCCGCTGCAGCTCTCCAGGCTTCCACGTTGCAAGCAGTGTTCCCTTGGGCCCTGTGTTTTGGACGGCCTCCCGGCCGCCCCCCTGACCTGGCCCGGTTTAATGGACAGCCTCCCGGCCGCCCGCCGGAACAGTGTCTCTTAGGGACGGTCCCTTGACCGTCCATATTCCTTGTGATCCCTCGTGTCTCCTTGTTCTCTCTGGCTCCTCGTGTTTTGTTTTTCTCTGGCTCCTCGTTTTCTGGTTCCTCGTGTCCTTTTGCTCCTCGTGTCTCTTTCTCTGTGGTTCCTCGTGTCCTTTTTCTCTTTGGCTCCTCGTGTCTCGTTCTTTGTGATACCTCGTGTATTTTCTCTGGCCCCTCGTGTCCCTTTTCTGGCCCCTCGTGTCCTTTCTCTGGTCCTCGTGTTTTCCTCGGGCCCTCCACCCTTGCAGTGCCACCCTCCACCCACCCTAGTCCTTCGGGAGGGGGGTCTTTTGGGGACGCCTGGAGGCGTCCTTGGGGGGGGGGGGGGGGTACTGTAAGGATGTTACTTTTCTGTGGCCCGGTGTGTCTGTTTCCCTCGTGCTCCTCATTAGTTTCCATTGTTGCCACCTGTGTCTCGTCCCAGCTGTTTGTCATCATGTCTCGTCTTCTCCCAGTATTTAAGCCGTCCTATTCTGTCTTGTCCTTCGTCGGGTTGTCTTCGTTGGGTACACTTTCTTGAATCTCCTGAGTCTCTCCTTGTCTTCCTGGTTCCTCGAGTTCCCCGTGTCTCCTGAGTTCCCCGTGCCTCCCTCCTTGTTTATGTAAGTTTTGCTGCCCCGTCAGCTTGTTTATTTTGTACTTTTCATTTATCATTAAAGACCTATTTTTGTATTTCTGCCGAGTTGAGTCCCTGTTCTGCACTCTGGGTTCGCTCCGACCACAAATCCTAACAGAAACAGATCCTGTCTAACCCTGAATGTTAGGAAACACCTTGTATCTGTGACTTTCCTTCCCTCCATTGATTTTGGTGACATTATTTACATGAACGCTCCTACAAGAACCTGCAGATGTTGGATGCTGCAGATGTTGGATGCTGCAGATGTTGGATGCTGCAGATGTTGGATGCTGCAGATGTTGGATGCTGCAGATGTTGGATGCTGTCTATCATGGTGCACTAAGATTCATAACTGGCTGTAACTACCGTACCCACCACTGCACCCAGTATCCACTGGTTAACTGGTCACCATTAACTCCACACAGACTCTCCCACTGGTACATTTCCATCTTTAAATCACTTCCTGGTCTGCTGCCTTCATACATCTCCTCCTACATGTCTCTGTGTGAGTGCAGCTACAGCGTGCGCTCTCAGGACATCATTACCTGCAGTGTTCCCTCAGTGAGGACTGAACTAGACAAAAGGGCCTTCTCCTACTCCGCTCCTGTTTCCTGGAATATCTTGTAAAAAGATCTGAAGCTCTCGACCTTTGACCTCTCTCAGTGACTTCAAACATCCAAGTTCCTGCAGATGTTCCTGTTTGTAGTTTTCTACATCGCTTTTTGTTTTAGCCGTTTTTTTTTTACTGTTTTTATATAATTTCTTCTATTTACTTTTCATTTTATATTCTTTTTATGATTGTCTATTGTTGTATCTCATCTGTGTTCTTTGTCTACATCAGGTCTCTCTTGTAAATGAGTCCTTGTGGCTCAGTGAGACTAACGTGTAGAAATAAAGGTTGAATGAATGGAAAAAACACAGGGAGCAGGTTTGTCAGTGCACAACATACGTGCAACATAATCCAGAGGTGTAAGAGCTTTAGAGGAAGCTGGATCTTCAGTCCAACACTCTGCAACATCAAACCCTCTGTAGCTTAAAATGGATCACCTGGAGTGAGTCCAGAAGTCCTCTGAGGTAACTGTCTCCTGTCTTTTTGTCCATGTCTCTGTCTCCAGACCATACAACATAGCTGGTCTCACCACTGTCTTGTAAACTTTTCCTTTGACCTTTACTGACACCCTTGTGTCACAAATCACTCCTGAAACTTTTCTCCATCACTCCATCCTGCCTGGACTCTCTTCTTCACCTCTTTACTACACTCCCCATTTTCCTGGACAGTGGACCCCAAGTCCTTGAAGTCCTGCACCTTTGTGACCTCTGCTCCTTGTAGCCTCACTGTTCCACCTCCTCCTTCTCATTCACACACAAACGAGTCAGAGATTCTTTATTGTCATTCACATCACATGTGGTACATGTGGTGGAACAAAGTTATGTTCACAGGGTCCCAGTTACATCCAACAATAAAATGTAAAAAAAAAAAACAGTGATAAGATCAAATATATAAAATAAGAAAAACATCAATTAAATATACATTAAGCATTAATAGCATAAAAACAATATGTTGAACAGCAGCACGAACATGAGTCTGTGTGAGCAGATGAGCACGTTTATTCTGTCTTACTACGACTGACTTTCATTCCTCTTCTTTCAAGTGCATACCTCCACCTCTCCAAGTTTTCTTCCACCTGTTCCCTGTTCTCACCACAGATCGCAATGTCATCTGCAAACATCATAGTCCACGGGGATTCCTGCCTGACCTCATCTGTTAGTCAGTCCATCACCAGAGCAAACAAGAAGGGGCTCAGAGCTGATCCTTGATGCACTCCCACCTCCACCTTGAAGCTCTCTGTCACTCCTACAGAACAACTCACCACTGTCCTGCTGTCTTCATACATGTCCTGCTGTCCTCATACATGTCCTGCTGTCCTCATACGTGTCCTGCTGTCTTCATACATGTCCTGCTGTCCTCATACGTGTCCTGCTGTCTTCATACGTGTCCTGCTGTCCTCATAC